ATATATAGTATAGGGATAATCAAGCGAAAAGATAAAATAGATTCCTATTTTCCATAAAGACTTATCCCTAGTTAAAGTATAAAAATATAAAAAAGAGCCTATTTTTAATGCCATTCGATAATATATATATACATTTGTTTATTTATTTATTTTATTTTTGGTTACTTTTTGCGCGCCAACAAATGGACGCTTACTTACTTCCAAATTGATGCATGCCATGATTCTAAGTGGCAACGGTATAGTTTCCTCATCGTATATCGGCACCATTTCATCTTCCTTTGCCAAGCACAGTCGGCACAGCTCGTTCACATGAATAATAACGTTGCTGGGGCCGTCGCCCTTTTTTCTACTATACGTTTTCATTATTATTAGAAAGTAGTATGTATTTCTTCCTGTTCTTCTTCTTCTCCTTCTTTTCGATCTTCTTGTTGTTCTTGTTCCTTCTTATTGTTTTAATGTAGTAGTTGGTTGTTTAAAAATGAGTGAAATTAATGTGTACTATTGTGTGTGTAACAACAATATTCAATATCTTGTTGGCGTCCCTCACGGATCTGTCGTGCGTAACTTTTTATCACGGAAAATATTAGGAGCTCTCCCTCGCCAAACGATCAGACGTACTCGGTCACTCACAACGGGATCTATAATGGCTGCGGCGTACTGTCGTACAAAGTTTCTCGACCAATGAGCGCTTAACATGGCGTTGCAATCGCATCTTCTTCTTTCCACGTCTCCAATATTACGGCTACGACGACAACGGCAAATTCCGTCGCCATTTCTTCTTCAATTAAAAAACTAACGCGTATGAGGAAATAATATAATATATATCAATTTATTTTTAAATCCTAGAGAAAATATACGATACGATATACAAGTGATATCTCACTTTTTGAAGAGAACTACGGATAGAGAAAATATACGACAATCCTTAGGGAATCCATTTTGAGAAAACATCTTGTTGCTGCATCGCGAGTCGGTAAGGGCGGTAACTTTTATTGATCTATTCTCTTACGTTCTTCTCTACGGCGGGAAACCTACCACACGTTTACTTTTTCTTTTTAACTCGGTATATTTTTTCTTTTCTTTTCTTTTCTTTTTTCTTTTCATAGTAAGAGGGTAAGAATTTTTCAACAGCCCCGTTTCTCGGTATTTTACTTCTACTCAATTCGACTCATTCGTCGGACAAAAATAAAGTGGAAAATAAGAAATATATGAGAAATTAAGCCGAAAAAGAAAAGAATATAAGCATAACGCTCGAGATAATTTGTTAATGGTTTTATTAGAAATAACAAATTCGATTGTACGATAAAGGATATTTCGTAAGATGAACGCGAATAATATCGACGGGTTTGTTCGTGAACGAACTGTTAGGGTGTTTTAGTTCCTATGTCCTGATCGTCGATATAGCCGTAATTCGCAGGTTATGGTACAACGCGTGATATATCAAATGCCATTCGATTATTGAAAGTACGCGTGTACAACTTTGGAATATGATGATGTAGAATCGATTAATGTTCGTTACTCTTTTGGTAAGAATAATGTCTTTCGTAAATACATATCATTTAATTTTTTTAATTTATCGTACTATTAATTCACGTATTCGTATAGAAATTAATATTTCAAATAAATTATAAATATTATTATAGAATCGGTTATTAGTAAAGATTGATATTCGTTAAAAAAAATATCAACATTTTCCATAAAGACTTAATCAAAATTATAACAAATTTATTATATATATAAATACTGAGTTTAAATGAATTATATTTATTTATTATTTACTATATTTATGTATATATATATATATAACATAATAATAAATTGATTATTAATTTATTCTTAGACTCTATTTCGTGCCAATATTTTGTTACGTTCCTATATGTTTGGATCTAACATAAATTTTCAGAGTGTATTACATTACCGACAATATAGACATTCACAATATAATACATTAATTTTATATTCAAATAATCATTATTGTGTTAAAGAACAAAAAGGATAACAACGTAAATAAGAATATTTGAATAAAAATATATTAAATGCTTATTTTCTTTCTTTTTCGTTTTATTAATTATGATAAGAAGAACTTAAAAAAAGATCTCAATAATCTTTAAAGATAATTTTGTAAACGTGGACTACAAATAATATCGCCATCTAACGATGGAATTATAATTATAAGAAATCGAATAGCGCGCCAATACTTTCGGATATTCGATATAGTTGATTTTTTTATCGGCAGGTGGACGCAGCGTCCATTTTGTCCGTAAAAATGGCGCGTTAAATATGCAGATTTCGTTTGTTGGACGAAAATGTATTTTTTAAATAATTGCTAATAAACATTGTATTTTTAAAAAAAAGAAAGAGATAAATTAATCGTAAGTAATATTAAAATTATTCATATCACCATACTATCTTTCTCAAAATGAAATAAATAAACTCTAGAAATATATATATCCGTAATCATCGCGCTAACGCGCGTAAGAGAATATAAATGATTAAGAGTTTATTTAGTTTAAAAAGTAAGCTTTGCATATTTCCACATATCCCATAAATCACATTAGTTTATTTTCGAAATCTTGATACATGCACACATAGATGTAACGATGGAATCGAATAATTTATAGAATATCTCATAAATTTTCACGATCATCTAACGGATTAATCGTATTTTCCAGGTTATCTTGCTAATAAAAGTGAAAGAGCAAGTACTACCCGCCATAAAGGCGGCCATTTTGCGCGGGAGTTTGGAATGGAAAGTTGAGCGGGAGGTTTTAACAACGTTCCTTTGAAAATATTCGAGAAAACGCAAATGAGTTACTTACGTTTGCCAGGAAAGTGGTTGGACACGATGGATGATAGCGGTGGTGTGAGGGCTCTCGAAAATAGCTTCGTCCTGTTTTAATATGAGAATGAGAATGAGAGAAAGAAAGAAAGAGATAGAGAGAGAGAAAGAAAGAGGAAGGGTGGAAGAGAAGAAGAGGGAGAGATAGTCATCACTCCACTGGTACTCTTATATGCTTTTGCTTTTACGAGTCCAGTGTGTTTCGATAGACGAGGAACGCGTGTTTCACCTTTTCAACAGGAAGGTAAGTTTAAAAGCTTCTAAGAAACGAAAGCTTCCTTTTTTCTTTATTTCTTTTTTCTATCTCTTGCTTTTTCTTTCTCTCTCTTTCTCTTATTTTCGTACATTTTACTTAACACCATTTCCGATTCTCTTTAGACCGGAAACGGAAATATAATTCTCTTCTGGTTGAATCATTTTATTATTCTTCTTTATTTTATATTTAATATTTTCCTTTTCCTTCTTCTTTTCTTTTCTTTTCCATATTTTTTCAATGTTTCTTTTTTATTCATTTTAAATTTATCTATAGGACGTATAATTAATGTATTTATTACAGAGACAATGAGCTATGTATGTATTTATACATTTGCTTAGTGATTTTATTTAAATGCTTACATTTATCTTTTTATAATACTGGAAATTAATATATATGTATATGTTGTATCTTAGTATAATCTTAATTTATTACACTCATTCTTAGATTTCTAATTTTACTCATGTTATTTTTGTGTATCTCTTTTATACTTTTAGTTTTGTATATAGTATTTGAGAAGATATAGGGGAGAAACGAGAAGATACGGAGAATTCGAGGAAGAAGACAAACGAAAAAAAAAGAGAGAGACGGAAGAGTGAGACGGGAGAGTTTCTTCCGCATTGTACTCTTTTTTTTAAAGAAAATTATGGTCTTTCATTATATTAGAATTTGTTTACAATTTCTTTTTTATTTATACTATACGATCATATTTTTTAATGGTGTTTTTTTTTATTATAATTATTAATTTTATTTCGTCAGATCATCGAGTTTATTTTATAATCTTCGCAGAATATGTACTTCCTATGACTATATACACTGGAATATGCAACTTCGTATATAATTATGTTGTATCGTAATGGAGATACACGAAAATAGTTCGGTTAATCTATAATATCGGTACGGAGAAGAAAAGCGTGTAAACAATCTCGGCTCTTGGATATCTCGATGTCGAATACTTGGCACGCAATCCAGTGTTGATTGCACAAAGGAAAATAGAAGAGAAAATACGAGAATTAGGGTATAGAACACACATTAGGTGTGCGTATATTACAAAAAAATAATTTCAATTACCAAAAAAAAAAAGAAAAAGAAAAAGAAAAAAGAAGAAAATAAATGTTGGAGAAGGAACTTTATTGTTCGTAATTTTCATTGAAAGACTTATTTTTCCTTTTTTTTTTTTCTTGCTTTCATTTTTTTTAAATCTGGCATACATTTTTCGGTCTGAGGAATCAAATTTCAAAGAAAAACTGCTCTCTTTTTCTCTCTCTCTCTCTCTCTCTCTCTCTCTTTCTCTTACTCTTTCTGTTTTAATCCAAGAGCTCGCCCAAATACCAACGAAGCTGGTGGAAATAGAAATGAGTTATGTAAATGGAAACGGATATCAAAATTTCATGTTAGCAGTTGTCGCTGTGCGTTACCAATTCCGAAACTAATTGTCTTCGATCTTTCGAAAGATTTTTGGCTTGATTACTATTTTACCTTCGATATGTTTTGCCTTCGTCATCTTGTTCTTCGTCGTCGTCGTTGTTGTCGTCGTCGTCGTGGTCCAGAATTTTGTGGATTATATCGTATAATGCAATATGATCCCTATACATACGATATTCAGGAAAGCTGACGTATAACTTCGTTAAAAGAGGGAAAGGTGGGAGAGATGTAGAGATTTTGCGGACGATGTAGATATATTCAGACGGAATTTCGTAGCAAAAATAACTATGGTAGGCCAACGGTAACTTGTACTATTCCCCCTTCAAACATCGAGATATTTTCAGTTAGAAATCTTAATTTTATCAATTAATTTATTTATATTACAGAAGCTTTTTTATTTTCTTCTTTCTAGGTTTAGTCTTGAGTTGCTCTTTAATTAAATCTTCAAAGGATTCTACTCAATGAAACTGATTCCTTTTGTTATATAGTTTCATTCATTCATAACTAGAATATCTGTTTAAACTAACTAAACTTCAGCATCAAGATACTTCAGTAAGAAATTTTCTATTTTTTCAATTAATTTCTTTATATCTTTAGTTTGTTAATATTTCTTTTTCTTTTTAGGTTGAATTTGATACACGTTAGCTATAAAAAGGATTTCGCTAACGAAATTAGTATCTTTTGTTTCAATTTCTTGATTTCATTCATAGAAGATTAAAATATCTATTTAGAAATAGAACGTGTTTATTGGAAAAGTCGTATGAAAATTTGCCGTAGGTTGGCTTAAGTGCTTGTTCTCTCGTCAATGTCACTTTCGACATTTGAGAATAGTCGTTGTAACTTAAGCGATGAACAACTTACTCCTATTTCCAAAGCTGAAAGATAGTGTCAGTGAACTCTCTTAGGAAATACTTCGAACTGGATACGAAAACTGTTCGAGTATTATCGTTTTCAATAGGTTAACTGTATATGAACGATCATACGTATATACGTGTATGTGCGTGTGTGGTGCGTGCGTGTGTGGTGCGCGCGTGTGTACTTGTATACAGATATTTTCGTACTTTTTCGTCATATTTTCTCGTTTACTCCATGTGCCACTTTTTGGCACGATTTTAAAGAACATCCACTAAATGTTTGTAATACACGGATAGTTTGTATTTGCGATTAAATGTCCAAACACTGTGGCAAAGAAGAATCTTCGAAGTAATGATCGCACATAAACGATGATTCTTAGCCAATAGAATTTCTGATGTCTTTTCTGTATCACACTTGTGTCTGACGATTAGTAATCGTGTTTTAAGTTAAATACTTGAATCATCTTGACCATTTATATCTTCAGACTAAGAAGAGCATAGTTTGTATTGATCGTATCGGTGGGTTTTAAATAGAAAATAAGAAGCAGACGAGGAGTCAATATTGATTGTAGAGTTAAATCAACTAATTTATTTTATCATCTGAATTTATTTGAATGTTATTATAAAGGTTTAATTAATATTTTGCTTTTAGTCAGAAGAAAACGAGGAAAATAAAAAAAGCAAAGAAAAAGGAAAAAAAAGAAGATGGCTGAACAGAAAGTGAAATACGTGAACAAGCAATTCAACTCTCCTATCAACTTGTATTCACCGCAAGCGATAAAGGAGACTTTGGAGAGGCAAACTCAGGTTCTGGCTAATGGAGCAGTCGGGTAATGACATTCGTACTTAAAATATCACGCACACGACCTACGGAAGAATGCAACGAGAAATAAAGGGAAGAATATTCATCCCTTGAGACAACGTAATCGTTCCTCATTTCTCTCTTTTTAAATCTCACGACAATCCAGGTTAAAAATTTAACCCATAAGTTTGAGAAATGCTATTAGAACAAATCCAATTCATTTGTCTTGTATTATTCTCACAATCAGAGAATAATTCTCATCATTTTAAAGAGTCATATAAAATCTTAAGTCTTCTCATAATATCATAATCTTATCTGAACACTTCTAGCAGAGTGATTGTATCCTAATCGCTATATTTATTTTTATGATATATATATATATATGAATGAAGATAGATAAAAAAAGGAAAAAAATAAAGAACAGATTAGGTTTATTGACCGATTGAAAAATGTAAGTATGTCAACAATCTTACCTCAATTCTATATATAGAAATATTATTATAGCATATATTCATATATATGTATTATTATAATACAGTATAGAAAATTCCATAATAATACAAATATATCACGTATAATTTTATAAAATATTTAAAGAATAATATATATTTATAAAATTTGACAGTAGTTATAAATATAGAATATTCGTTTATATTTATAAATAAATCTTTCTAATCTCGGTTTTGAAGTATCGACGAGTGACGACGATTTAGAAGATAGGATCTCACACATAAGTGTTTTATACGAGAGTCAAGAGATGAATCAGCAGAGAAAACAGCAGCAGCCTGGTGGTGTTGCTACCACCACCGTCGTTCTCTTCGTCGTCTTCGTCGTCGGCATTGGCGAGAGACCCCCCGTTATTTTCAGAGGGCCGAATCACACCGGTTAGAAATAAACGCGAACTCGGAGGCTAGTCGTTGCGCAAATCCCGTGAACGTCGTACTTGACTTAGTTTCGCGTTTGATGGCCCCTGGCTATACGGTTGACCGCAGTCTCTCGTGATTTTCGTGATACCACCCCTGTTATTCATTTTGCGCTCGTTTCGTTTATTAAATTATTTACCAGTATGATCGCTCAAAGAAGGTTCGATTCTGTTTTCGTTACTTTTTCTTTTTTTTTTTTTAATATTTTTTACAAATTTCATTTATTATTTTATATACAAAGTGTCAGGTCAATAGAACAATTTGGCTCAGTTTCTTATTTGATTTCATTATTTATATATATTCGTCTAATGTTTCCTCTTTAACTTTGATAAAAATTGTACAAAAATTTGCTGTCAAATTTTATTAATATTTTACATGACAAAACTTGGCTCTAATCAGCCTGTTAAATTCATTCTCTCTCCTTTCTCTTCCACTCTATAAAAATAATTATTTTGTAAATCAACCGAACAGATTTTGACAGTATCTTTTATTGTTTTAGGATCGACTTCAACCAGCTGGCAAAGCCGGCAAATTTGCAAAACAGCGCAGTACTACGCATGCTTGAAGAAGAAGAAGCAAGACAACGAGGTGGTCAACCAAGTAAGTATCGCTATTTCTTGCATCTTCATTTATTTCGTTCACCTGCTCAATAGGATCATATACATAATAATATCGTTTGAAAAAATTATGCACATACCTATCGTTGGTATATAATTAATTGTAAGCAAATGTCCGTATGTGCTAATTTAACGCGATACGACACATCGTTCTTTAATGTCTATGATGCATCTTTGATTCATTCGTTATAGATATATTTACTTTTTTCTCTCTCTCTCTCTCTCTCTCTCTCTCTCTCTTTCTCTATATACCACGTGTCTGGCAATTATTCAAACATTAAACTTCACCAAATTAGCAATAGACGTGTAAAACATAGAAACCTTGTTTTCTTCTTTTTTTATTAATGTAGGATCATTCTAATCCCTTAAGATGAATTTGATGAAAATAAATTTTGACCTTGCATGTGCCGAGTGCATGACAAAGTATAACATCCGATAATTACTAAGATGATCTAATGATGAGACATTGTTTAAAATTAATCATTTGTTTTAATTTAATTTATTCGAACGTGCTTTCATAAGTATCGTTAAAGTTTATTATTATTTTCTTTTTTTACATACGTATAAATATCCTATTGAAATTAAATCTCAGTTTAACTTAATCGATTTATATTTATAATATATAACTATTATGCTTCAAATTTTAGCAAGCTAATTTTACGTTTTACTTACGCTTGCTGCTTTTGCCCAGATCCGCAAGAAACGGAACTTAAACCGATCGTCGCAGAAGACTAACAAGATCACTGACACGCAAGGAATATACCGATCTACTACCAATACCACGAGAAATATAAAAGTACGAAGGATTTTCTAGTACCTACTAATTTAGATCAAGAAAAGAGGCATTTAACACGTAAAATATCATACAAATCCAGTGGCACGTGCTTTAGCGATCCTCTTCTAACTTCAAACGATTCGAAAGATCATTATGATCTTTTTCTTAAATCACAAAAGGCTTATGTCATTAATAATCTTACAAGCGAATGCGCCAGTTTTGTTCAATTGCAACAGGTAATCATGAAATTCAATTTCATTCTCATTCCATTATTTAATAATTATTTATGCACGACTTCGAATGATCCAGATTTATTATACATTAATATTGTTAGATGATTTTAAATTTAAAACAATTTACGTTATATAAAAAAAACATGGTATAAACAGTAAGAATGTGGTAGTGATTTACCGGTAAGGTAATGATTTTTTTTTTTAAATACGAACCAATCCAAATACGCGCATTTTATCTCCGAGTGGTTGTTAGATTTTTGTATCACCCCCACTCTTTGGCCAATCACCAAGAAATCTCTAAAATCGGTGGCCAGGTCATTGCGGCAATCATGAAAGGTGGAAGAAATGTTCGTTTAGCGTTAGTAGTTGGCCAGTTACTGTTTTGGCAAAGTCGTGTTTCCTCCGACTTAATGCACCTGAATTAGTGGATACTTCGTTTCCAAAATTTGTAACAAAAGACACAGGGTACGTTGTGACGAATATCATTTCGTAATATATATATACAGATATATATAGATCTATCGTAATAATAATCATCATTTCTTGGATTTTCAATATATAGTATTGTTTAGAGTGACCAGCTGATATTCAACCTTGTCATATGAATCCAATTTGGAAGAATTTGTGTTATCTGTGACAATGAGTGACCATTATTTTGTGTTTTAGTGAATTGAAATTTATATATATATTTTCAATGATTCTTTCTTTTTGGATAATATCTTTTTATAGTGTATAATTATTAAAATATAATTATAATAATATAATAATAAATTTGTAATTTTAAAAGATTCGTTTTTACGTGAGATTCGATGAATTTTTAAATATTTTTAAACGAGATGATCTCTTTTACTTTTTTTCGCAATTTCTATTTTAAAATTTCATGTATTTGTGTATTTCTTTTTTTATACATTAAGTTTGGACTCGATTGAAGTTTTTTTTAAAAAGAAACAAAAATATTGCATCGTTTCAAAATATATACATTCAGCCTTCGAATTTCAAAGAAACTAAGAATACAACGAGGTCACGTAGGAATCATGAAAATTCTAAGATAATAATCGCATAAATATAAACTTGGCTACAACGACGGGTATCAACATAAGGAATTTTAATTTCACGCTTTTGACGTAATTTGAATTTCTTTTTTTTTCTCTTCTCGGATTTTCTTTTTATATTTCCTTGTTTTTTTTTATTTCAATTTTAATTTTTCTTTTTCTATTAATCTTTTGCAATATTCCTACGAAACGATCACAACGTCCAGCAACTACAGCCAAGTACATTAATATGATGAAGACGTTCGTTGATAATTTTGATCGTATGATCTCTTTCGTAATATAATTTAGATTTTATTAGAGATGCATTGAGTGTCGTTAAGTGCTAAATAAAAGTATTAGCATAGATTGAATTTTCTTATAACATCATCATCATCAAATATTGGAAATAATGGATCGTACTTTTAACAAAAATACAGACGATATTATAAAAACAATTATATTATACACCAATACTTTTGTTCAACATTATAAATACAGTTCCAACTTTTGCTAGGAGATAACATAATTTAACTTTGTTTCAGATTTGAAACGTGTTGCTTGGCCGCCACCTCCTGAAGATCAAGATCTTGATTACGTTGAACAAGGACCCGTCCAAGCGAAGGTAAATATCACGATTCGCGTGACAATGATATATTAATAAGATATTCGTTGATGTTGTTAAGCGATGCTTAGTGTCTTTCATAGCATAATCCAAGTTATTTGGTACGTACGGAACTTCTTGTCATGTGACAACCTTTTAGCGTAATTGTGTTTCCTTGTATGTTCCATTCCGATAATATCCTTTTTTTATTTTTATTTTTAAAATGTTAAAAAAACCTTGTGAACTTCCACGTGCACGCTACGTGTATTCCATACATATATGTATGTATTAAAATGTCCGTGAAGCCTGATAATTGATTATTATTATTATTATTATTATTATTATTATTATTATTATTATTATTATTATTATACATGAAAATATCGATGTAGAAAGAATGCACGTTTGTTAATTGTTGATAAATTATTAAAAATCATTGTCAGCAGTATAGAAGGAAAACAATAGTGACAGGAACGTCGAATGTGCACGTTTTTAGTAGCAAACGACCATATGTTTATTTTCCCTTGAAAAGACCCGTGGAATCGGTGAGGTTCCCTCGTACCAGAGCAGTCCTTCATCAGGTCCATCACCCCAACCACCATCAACGGTAGCTCGTTCATCAACTCAGAGTGTTCTTCCATCATCCCCATCGCCATCGATCAGTCCAAGTGGAACTCTTCTGCGGCAACCATCACATTTCCAACAGCCATTTGCACCTAAGGGTTGGGCGCCTGTTACACCACCTGCTACCTCTCCTGTTCTACAACAACATCCTCTTCAAGATTGGTCCAGTCAACCACTATTACAACCACTACAACAACAACATCGTCAACAACAATTACAGCATCAAAAGGTAAGTGATTCAAAGTACGGACGTTAATTTTGTGTACCTGAAGAAATTCTGAATTTTATAGACTTTTTAAAGAAAAGATTGAAAGATTTTTTTTTAATCGAAGATTCAGATTTACTTTGATACGTCCGTGCTTTGGAAATTTGAGCAAGATGAAAAGATAATTGTCATCTGTGCTTTTTATTTATCTTCTTCTTTTACTTCTTCTTCTTCTTCTTTTCTTCTTTCATTTCAACCCCTCAGATGGATTATCAAGGATAATCAATGGCTCAATGCAGTTATGCAATGCAGCAGAACAAAAGGGATCTCAATGAAAAGGCGAAACTTATTATTAATTCATGGTAATTTTTTGATATCCATATTTTTTTTGTTTCAGCAGCACTCTCAAGAGCATAACGAGCAAACGAGACAACAGAATCAACCATATCAATCTTACGAAGCACCACCTTCTACCATTGTTCTTAGACCGGAGCCTCCGATTTCACAGGTTAATATATCTATTTTCATTTAATAATAATAATAACTCAAGAAATACACGTTATATATATCTTCTCAAAAAAGTTGATTCTCTTTAACACTGCGACATCCAGTATTTGTCCAATACATTTGCTTTGTAAAACCAATGTTGTATCAATGGACAACATAGTGTTAAAAATTAATTATTTTCTTTTATTTAACAGATAATTTTAATTTTAATATTAATTTATTAGGCACCAGCACCAGTGTACCAAGCACAACCTGCAGCAACGAAAGCTCCAGTCAGTGGTAACATGAGAGGAGATCTTAAATGGCCACCACCTTCCGTAAAAGCACAAACGGAAGCTGAGAACCAAGCAAGGATGGAACTGGCTAGGGGGCCCGCCGTTAGGCCACGTCGAGTTAACAAGGATTACAGCGGATTCTTTGCTCAGCATGCTCTTAACAATACTTATCCAGGTTACAGAGCTCCACCAGGAACTCAATACTTTACTCCATCTTATCAACATTAGCGCAGAGGGCATTCTAATTAATATTATAATATATTCGCATTATTATTTTCGTCTTAATATTATATAGGATTCTTTTTATTCATTTTTTTTAATTTATTTTTTTTTTCTTAGGATATCTGCACAAATTCCAATAATCGCCAATCGACGAGTTTTAATTGAAAAATCAAATTAAAAATTTTTTTTAGGGCTTTTTTCTTTCTTTTCGAAACGGGGTAGAAAATGACAGAAAAGTTTATTTCATAACTTTGAAATTGATACTCTTTGAAACGATTAATTCATTATTTTATTTAACATGTAATTTTAATATATATGTATATATATTATTTTTCATAGGTCTTGGCAAGCTCGTTGTACAGATTTCCTGTGTCGGATATATATATATGTATATGTATCTATTTACAGAGAGAGACTGACCGACTCGTAAATTATTCTAATTTTACATTTACCTTTTTTTCGTTGCATAAATGTTTTGATATAAGAAAAAAATCGTTAAGAAAAATGTATGCACAATTTATGCTTCTTCTTCTGTTATTTCTTTCTTTCTTTCTTTCTTTTGTGCCGATACACTATTAAAAATCATGACATTAATATAGCAGAAGATAATTAATGCTTCCAAATATTTTCCAGTCGTGTAATTTGTTTTTAAATGAGAAAAAGAAAAAAAAAACAAAACAAAAATACAGAAAAATGATATACATGCGAAGATTGAATGCCTTTATCAATGCTAATAGAAATGAATAAGGAAACTTGAAACGATGAGAAAACACGATATTGACTTAATATTAAATAATATCGATAGACGAACGAAGAGACATATTATTGATCATTACAATGTAGATTCGAAAAAAATAGGAATAATAATTAAAACTTGAAAGCACAATTTTATCACTAACGAGGTAAATTTAAAAATAAAAAATATATATATAAATACATGTCTCATTTTATAATACGATTTGGCACCGAAGTGTCCATGAATAACCAACGATGCGTTTGTAATTATGTAATTTATTGTTCTTGAAAGAGATAAATAAATAAAAAAAAACGATCTTTACAAATTTCAATGTTTTGTTCAAAAAATTCACATCTTCGTCGTGTGGTTTCATTGGAATAATTAATTATTTCTAGAAATATGTCGTATGACGCGATTAAAAAATTACACGCGTTTCTCTTCTATTAATATTTTCCCTCTATTTAACAATCTATCAATATTCTTAAATATATTACTACAAATAAATAAATAAATAATTTTGTTCAACTATAAATGCACACATTTCGATTTCCATTTTTTTAATATTTTTGTTTATTTGTATTTATGAAATAAATCAATTTTCTTGTTCTTTTTTTAACTTTAAAAATATAAAACGCGTATGTCGGAATTAAAAGCGTAGTAGTGCGTTCTTCGAATATTTCCTTTTCTTTTTTTTCTTTCTATAATAATACATTATTCTTTAAACTTTCTTCTAAATCGTGACTAATTTCGTCACGACATGTTTTAAAGCATAACATAAAAAATTGTTCCTTGTTGTAATAATGAACGCTCCCTGAGTTATAAATTTTCTCCTATGTTCCGTTGTAATAATAGTTCTATTAAAAGAAGCAAAAATGTTAAATATTTCTTTCTCTTATTCGGTAACTTTTAAATCATTTATCAATTATTATAACATAATTTGTAATAATATATATAATCGGACTAGATAAAAATGAAACAGATGTTTCAATGAAAATTTGTCAAACATTATTCATGTATGTATTACATAAATATTTCTATGGATATATATATATATATATATATATATATATATATATCTATGTAGTCATAAATCATAAAACAATTATTCAACAAGACGCAATTGATCTATCTGCTTTAATTTTATGCACGAGCAAATGACAAGTGTCAATTGAATGCACTCAATTATGAAGAATTACATCATTATCATAATGATTTTCTATTTTATACCATTAAAAAATAATCATAATAGCAGTAATAATAATAATATAATTAGAATTTAAAAAAAAATATATAATAATAATATATTACAATAAAAAAATAATTTTTCGAATGCGATTACACCAGCGAAAAGCCTTGAGTTTGTTGAATAGCTTGCAATAATTTATAGCGTAATCTTTCGCGAGTTTGGTAACGGGGGAGATCAAGCACATTAAAGCACGTATGTGCTACAGGGAGCATACGTTCATCGCTCATAGGTTGTATTATTATCTGCGATATACAAAAATATATGAAATATTAAATAAAATTTTAATAATGAAATAAAAGTAAATATTTTCTTTAAATGATAAATATGATAAAATCAATAGAAATAAAATTACCTTTATCGCTTTCATACCCTGTATAGGTATTCTGTCGCATCCAGTTAGGAAAAGTAAAAATTTCTTCTTTTCTTCTAGAGGTAACTCATGAAATACTTGCCAAAATAGGATAATAGTAGGATCATTAGCAGTGTATCCTTCTTTGTATGTCGCATTTCTTTGTAATTCTTCCCAATCGTAATTTTCATTTCCAACAACGACAGCCATCAATTCATGACTATGGAAAAGTTCTAATACCCTACCACCGCACACTTTATGAAAACCTGTATGAAATGCTTGATAATGAGACTCCACGGATTTGTTAAGAATATAATCTACATACAAGTCGACGAATTGTTTTCTGTAAAAATAAAATTACATTTTAATATATTACAAAATATACATATAATTCGTTATTGAAAAATTCATTAGAAAAAAAGGGACTAACTTATTTTTTAATGTAACAGGAACTTTTCCACCATCTGGTATTAATTCATACGTTTTGGTCTCACCAAAAGCATCTCTCACTATTTCAAAATTTAAACAAAATACCTCTTCGAAATCTGGATCCTCATAATCGAGTAAGCTTTGTAAATGTCTGTAATTAAAAATAATTTGTATTGATCATAACAATGTTTTATGAATTTTCTTTGTTTCATACGATAAAGGTATAATTGATTAGGCACGTACTTAGCAATTGCGGGAGACATTTCTTTAATATCAATTAATCCCACTGGCTCGTGTAATAATTTTTTATATAGAGCCAATGGAAAGGGTAAATCGATAATTATAAAATTATAGATAACAAGTCCGCATAGCAAACCAATTAGAGAATACATAATTTCATCTTCAAATGAATCTTGACTGAACCAAATAATTCTAGTTTCTTCGTATTCCTTAAACATTCCATATTTTGGGTCTAAGATTTCTTTCAAAAGAAGCATAAAAAATTCTTTCTTAACTCCTCCCGCATCTTCTGCTTCCTCTTCATGAAATTTTACCTATTATATTTACTTATAAATATAATATATCATACAAATATCAAACGAAAATTAAGCATATATAAATAAATTGCTTACTCTTAACGGTTTCTTCAAATCACTAGAATCGTAATGAGATAATTCAAATAAAGTATCTTGTACAATATTTTCTCGTGAAACGTTTAATGTCACAAATTGATTGTGAAGTCTAGTGTCCGCACCATTAGCTGGATATGGATGAAAAAGCATTTGAGTGATAGCACGAGTCGCAGCTTCATTCATCGCTGATTGCATCTAGAAATTAAAGAAAAATAAGTAAATAGAAAAGAATTATTGATTGATATAACAATAACAATAACGATAAAATAGTAAAATACCTGTATAGCTTGATCTGTTTCTAATAATATAGTTTTCGCTTGCGCGTCGAAGAGGAAAGGATAATCACAGAAATACATTCTATTATTCTGAAAATAAACAAGTAAAAATAAAAACAAATCAGTTAATTTTGTTTTATATCATTAAATGTACATTTCATATTACCGTACCGAATAATTGTCTTTTTCTGTCAGCCATTTAAAATAATCAGCTTTAATATCTATATGTTCTATTAATTCCGGCAAATGAAACGTGGAATAAGGCACCCTAATTTCATCTTCAGCGGTATGATTTAATTTATTTAATAATTTTAAGAACTCTAGAATGTGCTTACCCAGTACATTCCACGAAACATTCTAAAAATGAAATAAAGAAAAAAGAAGAATTGAGTTTCAGAGCCCCCTTAGAAAAATTTCGACATGAAATCTGGACTTAAATGGTTAATATAATTATAATTAATGTATTATTATTTACCTTGTCATGTTTAGATTGCTTAATAATATGTAAAACGACGCTCTTGTGAGTACGAACGAGTCTTTCAAAATAATAAGACGGAGCTTTACTCCACCATGAAGTTACTACTTTAAGTGCTTCCATTTTTAAGTTTGAAATGGCTTTGCAAAATGGTTGATGTAAAGCATTCCAATGTACAGGATTAGCGAAACCATGATACAAAGGCACTGTTAAATATACTCTTAACGATTCTATATCTGGTGGAGAAGATGAGAAAGATGGTATAAGACTGTCCACTATGCTATTAAAAATCTGAAATAATACAATTACTTATAAATATTAATATGAAATAGTCAAGAAAAATATTAAAAAACGTAAAACTGAAATTTTTAAAATACGTACCAGTTCCTGAATTGTACTATTACACAACTCCGAAATAATCCCAAAGGATTTAATCGCTACCTCAAAGTCCACTCCATGATTTTTACTTGAACATCCATAATGTACATCATTCTTAGATAAAAACGATCCATTCATACAAGATTGACTTTTAAAAACAGTTTCTAGATACCTGAAACATTAAATGCATTCTTACGATATTTTAATATATTATATGAAATGATTTAACTTACATCATAAGTTCATGATCGACGGGAGATCCGGTTGGAACTCTTTGACAAGCTGCTAATTGTTCTTCAGATATATTAAGTATCTGAGAAGTGGCGTCTATTATTCTACAGTCGTCTGATTTATTATTTTCCTATAGAAAGAGATCGATGAATGTAATATAATTTATATAATATAATTTTAAATTAACGTTAATAATAATTATACAAAAATATAACATAAATTTACTTCTCTTTCAACAACAGTAGCAAAACAATGATCTCCTCCACTAAATATATGTTTAACGATGCAATCGATTAAGCAGGGACTGAACTGCGTGTTGAGTTTGATCGCTGATGATCCACTAGGAGGAGGTATCCATGGTCCGAGTACAACTTGAGGAGTAGTAACACTTTGCGTAACACTATTGCCTAATTGTCCTGCACCACCTAATCCCCAAGCATAAATTTTTCTATGCGAAGGTACAAATGCCAATGTGTGTCTTCGACCGCATGATATCTGCAAAAGATAAAAATATATATTATAAAAAATAAATTTTTGTATACGATAATGCAAGAAAAAAATTCTATATTTGTGTACTTGTGTAACAGTACTGCCCATCAATTCCATAACTTGGCGAGGTAAAATCTCATTGTTATGATTTCCGTGTCCCAATTGGCCATACATTCCTGCGCCACAAGTAAATACACCACCGTCCTATAAAAATAAACATACATTAAAGATAATAGTTAAATATTACTTACTTTAAATAATTTATACTTTACCATTGTTAAAAATACAGAAAATTCTTCTCCACATGCTGCATAACATACTTTTGAATTTCTTAAAGTTCTTAATTGGCAAGGAACATGTCTAACTTGCGTATCATTTAGTCCCAATTGACCGAATAAATTTTTTCCCCATCCAAATACAGCACCTATACAAAAAAAAATAGAAAAATTAGTTGTACAAATTACAAGTTTGTTTTCTGATAAAACCATTGATTTATAAAACATTACCTGACTTAGTTATAGCTATACTATGATAACCACCACATGCAATGAATGCAATAGGTAAAGAAATTAAGCTACTGATAAGTTTTGGTTTCAACTCCTTTGTTGTATCAAAACCAAAACCTAATTGTCCTTCACAGTTTGAACCCCAAGCATAGATTTCTCCGTTATTTGTAAGTGCAAGTACATGTTTTATTCCGCAGGCTACTTGCACTATTACATTTGTTCCTAACGTTTTTACCATACGTGGTATATGCTCAGAAATATTTATTACATTTAATCCTGCAAAAAATATATATTAGAATTCAAATAATAGAAAGAAATTTAAAATAATATATTTTTACAATGTTACGTTACCTAATTGGCCTTCGGAGTTACATCCCCAGCTAAACAATTGTCCCCATTCATTGACTGCTATCGTGTGATATGCTCCGCATGCTGCTTTTTTAAATACAAACGCTTCTAATCCCGATATTAAGTCTGTAGACAAAACAATAATATTAATTTGAAAACTATCTCTTCTTAGATCTCATCTCTGATACTTACAATTAATTTTAAAACAATATTAACTAATATTATTAATTCAAAATACTCACGTAACCTTTTTCTTCCGTGGTCATGTCCTAGTTGACCAAAGTCATTATTTCCACAAGAATATAATTGTCCATTTTGCGTTATAACTATGGTATGATTTTCGCCACATGCAACTAAAAATAAATACAACATATGAATTAATAAATATATATTAAAACATATATCAAATGATTATTTATAAAACTGTTATACTCGATAAGCAAATCATTAATTATCTAACAAATGGAAATAAATATCTTACTGTATGTAACTTCAGTGGATTTCTGGAAATCGACTTCACGAGGAGCAAGAATATGTTCATCCTCGATACCACCTAGTCCTAATTCGCCATGAATAGAACTCCCCCAGCAAAACATATTTTTATCTGATACGATTAGAGAACAACCCAATGTTAAATCAGTACACAATCGAGGTTTCTTTGACCAACTTGCCTAAAAATGTTAATAATTTTATTAATTAAATATATATTAGTTAACACATTAAGCACCAAGCTTCTTATGTTTAGCTCTCTACTCAGACCACAATAATCTATTATCCAGAAAAATACATAAGAACGTCAACCGCTGGTGACTGACTCAGTGTTTAATGTATTAAATAATGTTGATACATAATTGGATATAATAATAAAAAAAATAAACATATATATAATATAGTAATCTTCATAAATATCATAATATTAAAATATTTATATATTATAATATATATGTGTGCGTAGAACTATAATTTCTATTTATTATTAATAGTTAAATATATAAAAAAAAAACTTGTTAAATATGCATCGAACAGTAACGGCATTATGATCATTTTGTACAGCAATTAAGAATTGAGTCGATTATATTTAAAGAAAAATTTGTATCGCGTAAACAAGCATGCGGATGAAGAAAAAAAATGTAAAAATAAAAATAAAATGCATACCAGAATATAATAGAAATGATACAATGGAAAAGGGAATAGGTAAAAGGCAAGGAATCCGATGGTGTATTTAAATATATCGACTAACCATAATTCCTTTTCTATTTTTCATATCGAAATCATAGATGCTGCAAGCAAGACACAGGATTTATGAAAGACACGTGCGTTCTTCTATAAAAATAACTGTTTATATATTTTTTCTTCTGTCATAAACAGAAGGATGTTTCTTCTATCATGCAAATAATATAAAAAAATGTTTAAGGAAGACTAATCATTGAAATATTTTCTTCAACAACTTTGTCATGCAGAACTTTTAGAGAGCATAGATTTTTAAGCACTTTTTGTTATTTGTTTTCTCTTTTTTGTTCTTTATTTTTATTTCCTTTTTCTTTTCCTTCTAAGAAAACCAATTACGTCGTTAAATTCAAGAATAGAGCGACAAAGAAATATATGAGAATATCGATAATAAATCAGCATTAATTACTTTTACAACAGAATGATGCAGCATTAATAAGAATTTCGTTTCCTCTTTTTGTTTTTTAACGATACCTAATTTAAATTTTTTATTTTGAAAATATTATATATATTTCTCTCTCTCTCTCTCTTTGTCTCTATCTGTTTCTTTTCTCTTTTCCTTAAATTATTGTTACATTTATTTTAATTGATTTTAAACATAAATAAAAATTCATATATATATATATATATGTACTTATATATATATATATATATATGTATATAATATGTACGTATGTATATGCACAAAAAATTTGCTTCTCGTATTTTTTTGTTGTGCTGTTGAACGAGTTAGTTAGGTTAGAAAGCAATAATAATGAATTTAGTCACTGCAATTGTTACAGTACATTCGGTGTACTAATAAATTTCATTTAGAACAAAGTACGTGTGCAAGTTAAAGGAATTAAAGGAAGGTCAATTTTGTTTGAACATGATGATTTCATTTACCATTCGAAAAAGATCCATTGCTCCGTTATTATTATTATTTTTTTTTTTGTATGCGTTATATATATATATCTTTATTTTATTTGATTTAATTTTAATCACTTCTACGATTACTTATCTTACTCACATTTCTTTTCAATTAACAGGCACTATCGAAATAGAACCATTTCTCGAGAGACGAACAATAACTAATCCAAAATGAAAGAAGAAGAAGACGAAGTTAAAGGTACATGCGACTGGCCCCCTTTTTGTAATTTCTCGAAATTAACTTTGATCAACTTAAATGTGCATCTATAACTTGCTTTTTCGAATCTTCAGAATCATACTTCTCAGGATCAGGAGCGTAGAAATTAATTTTTCTTTTACTTTATTCTAGATACATTAGACAAAGTAATACATAACAAAATAAACACATTTTCTCGACTCTTATGTAAATATAATTAATCAAAAAATTTACTTCTATAATAGATCAATCAAATAAATTATTATGGTATTAAAAAAAACTAATAATATGAGTTTCAACATGGCGCCTAATGTTCATTAGAATATTTAAATGATTATTACATAAACGAATTGTATTTTCCAATAATTTTATATTAAATATTAATATCGATATGAATCATATTTAAATAACAAATATATATCTTAATATATTTGAAAACATTAAAAAAAAAAAGATATGAATACACGACGATAGGGTAGATGATTCACGTATTACATTGTTTATTTTTAAAAAATACGGTTCTATTTTTTTTTATATAAAATAACAATACTTACAATAATACAATTTAAAAAGATGATAATAAATAATAATAATGAAAAAGAAACGATTATAATAAGTTGAAATAAATCGACAGTCGATAAAAAAAAAATACAACAATGTCGACAATCTATATAATAATTTTATAGTTCATGGATTGCCCCACCCCGTGGCGCGCGCGGTGATCGGCGGGCGGGCGGCAGCCATATTATTAGTGAGGTGTCAGTATTTTCTCAACGTGACAGGATTTTTGGGTGTGGATCGTACAATTTCCCATCGTTCCTTGGTCGCGTACATTAGTGCAAGTGTAAAAGTGCGACCGGTCTACCGTGAATGTGTGGTACACGTGTCAAAGGAACACCCTCTTACATAGAGAAAACAAGTAAGTCGTCGTTTGTTGCATCGTACGAGACTAAATGCACTGAACTAACGGATGGGAACAAGGAAAGAAAGAAAGAGAACAAGAGAGATAGAGAAAGAGAGAAAGAAAGAAAGAGAGATAGTTAATTCATACACGTTGAAAATTATCGAAATAATTGATCGTATTTAATCGATAATACATTTATATATATATATACATAACATCATATATCATTCAAGCGATTTAGTAGAACATAACGTCGTACGATTAACAAATCATTCTCTAACCTTAAAACACGAGCGGTTTTTAAACCCTAAAATTTATAGATGTATATAAATATGTATATAATTCGTTTTACTTGAACAGATAGATAACAAATTATTTGTTATTTTTTTTCTTCTCTTTTTCTCTTTTTCCTTATATAATTTTTGTTCTTTTTTATAAATATATTTGTCTATGATACACTCACATACACAAACGTGTTTTTAAAAAACAATAAAGTATTTCTCTCCAAACTAAGGACACGTCATTTCAAAAAATTTTCATTTTAATAGATAGATAAATAAATTAGTTGGATAAAATACAAATACTTTACTATTATACCTACGTACATTCATACATATTCTTAAGTCGTAAACAAACTTCGGTCAAATGTGTTAAATTCGACAAGATGTTTATAGGGTCAACTAGATTGTTCCTTCGTTGTAATAAATTGTAAGCGTACAATTTTAGAGGTTAGATTTTTTACGTTTTACATATATGGATATCATGTATGTGAATTCAAATATTATCTATTTCCTCTTTTACATTATCGTATGTTAAATACGAATATCGAAGTAGGAGGTTTATAACGCGTGGGTTGTGCATAATTATTAACGTGAGTTTATTCTCATAGTATATTTCATCAATGATGAATAGATGTATTTTCATGAAATTATGTTTAATTGGTAATAGTTTTCATTTTCTATATCGTGTGCTGATCGCTGAAATATTTTTATTTCTTTTACTCTTTTATTCTCTCCCTCATTCAGTTTCTATTTTTACAACACTCGACTATTGCTATCATTTTTTATTAGCTACAAAATTTGTTTACTCATTTAGATACGAGCTTTCAAGGATCTATTATCATACAGTACACCCAATTTCTCTTTGAAATTTCATTCTCGAATTTTGGTTTCTAGTTATTAGAAAGTGAGGTCTTACGAAATTCGAAATGTTACGCATCATCGTCATTTAATAATTCTCATTAAAAAGAAACATTTTGATTTATTTTTAAACGTTGGCTTAATTTTAAATTGAACTTTACTTAAAATATTCAAATTTAAGCATCGACCAATCGAATACTTCGATATCAATATTATATAAAATAATTTTAAACTGTTGAAAACATTCCTTTAAGTTTCTATTTGTGGTTTGATTATAATTGTGTGAACATCTTTTTTAAATTGAAAGAAATTGATTATCATTCGTCTACTTTATTGAGAGACTATTAAATATACAAAAAGAAGAAAGTAGGATAGGAGGCGTCGTTAAAAGATTTATGTTCGAGACTGTAACAGTTGGAGAACGAGAGAAGAATTTCAAAAGGTGTACAATTCCAATATATTTATCTATATATATATACATATACAAATGTGTGTTATGTATATACATGTGTTGTTCATCGTTAAAAAGAGATAGAAATGAGCATATTACGTCAATGAGCGACCTTGAAAAGAATGATCAGAAGGATCCTACGATGTCGTGTTTGGTCGTCGAATTTTTATTCGAACGCATTCGACGATGAAGTTAGAACGGAAATGTCACACACAAATGTACACACATACATTTTTTAACACATTCAAATGTGCGCGGGCGAACACGCGGACAGGTAGTAGTCACGTTGTTCGATTTTCGCAGTGACGTCACGCAGGAGGAATAGTTTTTTTCAAATCGACCAATCACGTATCACGATTAATCCCGTGAGAACGTACCCCATCTTTTATTCCTTTTTTTCTATGGTATAAAAATTCGAATAAGAATAAGGATAATCGGATTATTTCTTGTTTTAATTTTTTATTTATTTTCCTCATTTCTATTTCTTGTTATTTTTTTCAAAGCGAGTAAAGCAGTTTCCCTATGAGACATCAACGGATATAAGTTTTTATTAATAGACAGACGCTTTCCGAGTACGTTTGGCTTCGCTGTCGTCGAATACACATATACATATAGATTGGAGTTACGGATTTAAACGTCAACGACAAAAGCTCAAGTAGAGAGAGAGATATCGTAGGTTCAACGAACGTGGACAGTCCTAGATAATAAAAAGGGGAATGCTAGACGAAGAGAGTATGCACAGGCACACCTCACTCACATCACGCGGTGGATCTCGGTCACGCGGATTTGCATTATAACTTGTCCTTTCCTTCCAATATGGAGACTCCCTAGTAAACACACATATTTATATACGCGTGTGTGCGTGTCCAGCATCATTCGCAGGACCGTACCTACACATTTTTTTACTATTCTTCTGTTTCTTTGTTTTAATACTCCAAATGGACATTGAATATAATTGAATGTAATATTTGTATCATATTTTATTTTTATTAATATTATTTGGATATGTTTGTTTCAGGTTAATTAACTTAACCGTCCACGTGAGAAGAAAAAATACAGCAGCCACCATGCCGAAGTCGGTACGTGTTCCATTTCGATTATATTCCGATTGTATATATCGATTATATCGATGTTTGAAATGCCGCAAAGGAATTCCTGTGTGATAGATACTTTTAAGTTGTATATGTCAAGTATTTGATAAAAACATTTAAGTATGTATATATATATTTATAATCTCTTATGCATGCTTATTTTTCTCGTGACTTTGAATTTTTGTTGGCACAGCGAAATGTTAATTGCATACGACACAGACCGTGCGTGGATTTGACAGGAAATGTGAAAAAGGAGGAGAAGAAGCGTTTATTATCACACCTTTTACGTAAATTATGCAGGCTGGTAACGTTACAAGATCGAACGTATTGGAATTTAAGCGGAGGATGAAAAAAAATAGAATTTTTGTTGAACACCTTCTTAACACATTTATATATATAAACGTAACATATACAAGTTAGATTATTTTAACGAAAATATTACAATGATTGCTTATAAGTAGAACGAATATTGATAAATGCTTCTAATTAAAGGTTATATACCTGTATATATACGTGTATATACATGTATGCATCGAACGAAATATCATTTAAAATTTAGTCTCGTAAGAACGATTACGTAAATCGTTTATAAGCATCCCTTAAATGCACATCAAATCATAATCATTCTCGTAGCATCATAAAAGAAGCTTACATGAGAAGAAAAAAAATGATTATTTCATTTGACACACTGTGTATTACCGGGCTCAACGCTGATTGGTCAAGCGACGCGAACCGGCTTCTCACGTGACCACGCTGTCATCTCTCTCTCTCTCTCTTTCTTTCTTTCCTTCTTTCTTTCTTTCTTCTCTTTCTCTATCGAATGAGTTAGCAAGGTGGCGCTCTTATCTTATATTAGGTTAGGTCGTCGAAGGAGGAATGAGTGAGTGAGTGAGTGAGAAAGAACGACGTGTTGCATCGAAAAGAGCGGGTTGAGGGGAGGAAAAGGAAAGACGCTGCCGGTTGTACTTGGCCCATTGTTCCAACGGCAAGTGACGAGAACGGAACGTGAAACGTGAAATTATTTAGACGACGCCTTCGCCACGTACACATTAAAACGAATAATACTCGATCATCTTTATTTTCCTGTCAATGTAAAAAAAGGAATAATTAATATTTAGAAGTACGTTTCGCGATATTTTTTCTTTTTCTTTTTATATATCTTGTGCATAGTCTAATTAATTCGTACTGCCAGATCCAACGCCATGGTTGCCGGTACAAAACTGGTAAGTTTGTTGAATTCGTGTCGTATTATGTGATTTTATTATAATAATTATTTTGTTCGTCGTCGTTGTGTGCATGTCATTTTTTTTTTATTAAACGCATAACGTCGTTCTAGAACTTTTATCTTCTTCCAAAATTTGAAATAGGATTTTAAACGTTTGGCGTCTTTCGACTGATGGAAGGCGTCACCCATTATATTTTTGCACACATTTTAAATCTTGATTTAATTTGCTTTATTTCATGTTCTACCTAAAGATGAACGTCAGGGTGACGACGATGGACGCCGAGCTGGAGTTTGCCATCCAGCAGACGACCACCGGCAAACAACTTTTTGATCAAGTAGTTAAGACAATTGGTCTACGTGAAGTTTGGTTCTTTGGGCTTCAATACACCGACAATAAGGGTGATCTAACATGGATCAAATTGTACAAAAAGGTAGGACAACTGTACTTTCTTCTATAACTTATCTTTTATTTTCGATTAAGAACAATAATGTTGTTTAAAGTTCTCTTTCGACAAGATAGAAAGCGATTACCAAAAGAGTTTTTATGTATTCGTATTTAGAGAGTTAGATAATGTAGAACGATTATTATTTCATTGTACTTATTTATTAGCTATTAAGTATAGTACTAGTTAAGAGTATTTAGCTTATTCATCTGAATAATAATCATCATAATTGATATCATTCGCATATCATTGAATTATATATTATAAGTGCTATTTTTTTCACAGCGATTAATAAGATTTACCTGACGTAATAGAAATTTTAAAACTGCTATTAATGTGAAGTAACAGAAAAAGATGTCTAGCAAGTATAATTGATTCTAAAACTATTAATCTTCGTGTTTTATTATTTTTTTTAATGAAAATCTTTAGCCAACTTGGATCAAAGAACGTTTTTCAAGTAATTAGAAGCACATACAGATGTGTAGCATTTTACATCTTTCTCTCTTTTTTTCTCTCTCTCTCTCTCTCTCTCTCACACAATCACTCTCTAGAAAACCTTAATTGGATTCTTGTCGTTTCTGTGATAGCAACGAGAGAGAAAGAGAGAAGCATCGATGACGAAGAATGACGTCATCAGCGTGCGTGTACTCGATTTTTTTTTCCTCGTTTCTTATAAAACATCTGCCATTATATGGTTTTCTTCACTGATACATATGCGTGCAGAGACACTATCGTTGACCTGTTTTTGTTAAATGACTTTGCGTAGAATTAAGAAAAGAATATTACCTCATAATATTACTATATTATCTTAACGAATTAATTCTTTTTCTTTCTTCTTTTTCTTCATCTTCTTCTGACCGTGAGAAGATTTCAAGAAACAAAAATATATTTATGATAAGATAAAAAGAAGGTTCGCAAATGAAGAAAACAGAAAATAATTTTATTTCGCATCCGAGTATCATCGTTAGCAATCTCGAAGAATTTTTAACATTTTTTTTTTTTATAAGGATCTTGAAACGCGTTCCTCGCCTTTTATGACGACCAGTACGTCTTCGTTCACCATGCAATTTTCTTTCTTCGTTGTATTATAATCATAAAATGTAAAAGAAAGAAGGAAATTCATTAAGTTTTTTTACGATAAAATTTTCAAATTTTCTACTATAAATTCGTAAATTGCAAATGTATTGTAATAATCAATCATATGTTTTATATATATATATTTCACATATTAAATTATAAATTGTCTATTACAAATATTTTTCAATTAGATATTATATATCGTCTTTTTCTTATTTTCAACGTTTGCAAAGATCATATTCGAAACGATAGAGAATAGAATGCATATCATTGACGATAAGTTTTGAGTACAGTTGCAAAAATATGAGACCAAAGTATTTGGTATTCGATCGATGAACAGTTATAAGGAGAAGGTATATACATATATACACACATACACACACATATGCAGTATAGACTCTCTTCTTCATACATAAAAATACTCAAGGCTTTCACCGACCTGTTGAAGTCTCGATTTTTCTATCTCTTTCTCCCTCTTTCGCTCTTGCTCTCGTCTTCATTACGTATTGTCTTTCCTTTTCTCTAACGTGTAAGTACATGTACACGTATTTTTACACGCATACCTTTTTATCCGGTTTCACATATCCCCCCCCCCCTCCCACACACTTCTTTTATTTTCATATATATGTTTGTGTACATGAGTATGTTTTTTCTCTTTTTTTTTTCTTTTTTTTTTTTCCCCACGACAAAAGGCGACCTGCCCTAGAGACTTCCGGCACACAACGGCCAACCTACTTTTCTAAGCGTCGATTCTAACTCGGGACAGGAAGCGGAAGATTTTCGTGTAGTACAAGTGGTTTTGTCTCTTCCGTTTCTATTCTTGCATAGTTGCTATCTTTCAAACAACAAAATACACATATACTTGTATAATGAGTAAAAGGAGAATATTCATAGCATCACTATCAATTTAAAAAAAACATTGATATTTTCTTGTAACACACAATGTTCCTAAATTTGTATACACATAAACATATTTTTCAAATTGATATTAATTTAATTACAAACTAATATTTTATTGTAAGAGAAGTATAATTAAATATAAATGATAAGGAAAATTGTTTTCACAAGGGTGTGCTTAATCGTCTGGAAAGTATCAAAAGAAAGCCAGCCAAGTATTTTACTCATAAAAATAATCATAGTGTTTTTATTATATCTCGCGTGAGATCAATTTTTATTATTATTTAATTAAAATTATATTTCTCTCTAACAATAAAGTTTAACTCACTATATGGATTTAAGTTGTTGGAATAGATAATTAGCCTTAGATGAGAGGAACTCTTCCAGACTCTTTTATCTTATCTGTGAAATATGAATTTGTTGAAAGAGAAAGAGAATCTTTCCTGTGAACAAGTTTTATCATGGTCCAGAGAAATTCATCTTATTCTCGTTTTCTCTTCCCTTCTAAAAAAAAAAAAGAAAAAAAAAACATCATTTAGTTTAAATTATATGTAGATATCCGTAGAATTTTTATTAGACTTCATTAGATCATAATTTAAAGTATAAATTTCAATGTATAAAATTAGTTAAACGAGAAATGAAAAAAATTCTAATCGTACTCATACACACATATTTTACACGTAGATTGCTAATTGTAGATTGATAACAAAAGAAAGTATATTTGCATATCCGATCGCGATTAGAAGTACCCTTAATTATTAACAAACATTTTCAATCGAGATCTAAAGCAAACTCTCTCTCTCTCTTTTTCTTTCTTTTTTAAAGTACGCATCGATTAGATACGCTAATTATTTTATTCCATAATATTGTAGATAACAAAATGTATTGTTGCATTAGAGCAAGATAGGCTATTAGTGATTCTTATCTCTATCTTTCTATCTCACTTTTTCTCTTTTCTGTAGGATCATGAATGATAAGAACAATTGTTCATGAATTTGTTTCGAATTTTCTTCTCTTATTTTCGTTAACTGCTTATTAAAGTAATTTCTCCCCCTCTCTCTCTCTCTCTCTCTCTCTCTCTAACCCCCTTCCCATCTCAACAGAATTGTCGTAAATGTAGCAAAAAAGTTGTTACGAAGCTCTTGTATAAATTGGATTTTATTTAAAAATAAAAATAAAATACTTTGATGCTCGATCGATTGTATACAGCCGGAAAGTGCAATAACGAGAGTCGTCAAGAAGGAAGTTAAAAAGAAGGTACGAAAATTAAGAGGCTACTCGGACTCTGACACCGATGACGACGATTTCGAAGACGATCTGGTAAGCCGTGTATCTTAAAAAGAAGACTCTCTGTTTATTTATTTATTCCTTTCTCTTTCTCTTTCTCTCTTGAGAGATAGGGATAGAGAGAGAGAGAGAGAGAGAGAAAGAAAGAGAAAGAGAGTATGATGAATCCTGTTCATACAGGAAGTGTAAAGAATCTATATATCTTTCTACATATATAAGGAAATTAAAAGAAAGAGAGAAATCGTCGACTTTCTTTAATGGGAATCCATCCAACAAGTAATCAAGTTCGAGCTGAGCTTCCGTTAATTCAACGAGCAATCTTAACTGATGGATTTTTAGCCCTAATTTTGTTTACTCAACGTCCACTTTAAGGATTTAATTTTAATGTTAATTTTTTACTTATTGAGAAACAGCATTTATTATTGAAAATATAAGCGCGATAATAATTTTATAAATGTTGAAGAATTAACAGAACTACAAATTTTAGCGTTCATTCTGTTAATGTTAATTAATTAGATATTTTCTATGTATAGTTTGATGTAATACACGTGGATAAGGCCCAACCAAACAATTCTTCTAACTACTCGTGCAAATAATACTTGTGGCCTTTCCAAGGTACTTCATACTTAACTGAAAACGAACGGCAATGAGTGTTATGCAAATAGGCAAGGACTGGTTTTTCTCTCTCTCTCTCTCTCTCTCTTCTTCTTCCCTCGGTATATTGGTTTCTTAAAAAGAAGAGAAACAGACAGGTTGTGTGTTTCTTATTTCTCTTCTTCTTCTTCTTACTTCGAGCAATGCTTGCTTCCTCGAATGGTTTAAACACTGAAAGAGAGTTTTTACCTTTTTTCCTCCAACATTTCAAAGGATTACTGAACGCGTCGTTTAATTTATCTTAATTTTTCTTCAAAGAACATGAAGAAGAAGAAGGAATATTAAAATGAAAAAAAAAATGGCTCTTTATATTTGTACATTTTTTATTCAAATTTGTATTTTCAAATATGCCATTTAATTTGAGGAAAAGAAATATATTTATTTTAATTTATAATTAGTTTCATTGGTATTTTTTTCTTTGGTAAAAATATTACTATACGTACTTTGAAATTGAATGTGTTGTTTATTCGAGTTTAGTTTAAAGCAACGAAGACTATAAACGAACTTTACTAAGCTTTTGCTTATCGCAGTAAAATGGCTGTGATAAAAGTCCGGGATAAGCATAAGGGGGAATAATAATTTTAAACTACGGCTTCTCCATTGTTCTTAATTTTTTATTTATACTTTTGATTCATGCTATGATTCCTACTAAAGATTGCTTTCTACGAAAGTATTACACATGATCGACAAACAATTATATTTCTATAATTGATAATGAACTATTTGGATGTTTGTTACTTCCAGAAAATAATTGTATTTTATTTTATTTTTTTGTGTGTGTATTTATTTATTGAGAAACAATATTTGGATAATATATAGTTGAAAAGGAAAATGTAATGATAATTTGTAAATCTAACAGAATGAGAAAAACCAAAAATATTGCATTTTGATAATATTTCCAAAAATATATGTTTATTTTATTTTATCTTTAATTACATTCGATATAAAACATCTTGATTTTTCTTTTGGTCACATGTTAACCTTTTAAGCAACGAGAAAGGTCACAGTTTACATAATATATATAATTTTGCGTGAATCACTAAAGCCATTCGCATTCGTCGTTCTAAATTACTCTTGCAATAGGAAATAATACGAATTCTTAGTGTTTTAGAAGGACGTTAAAAACCATTTTGAAAATAATTATAACATCTGGAATGAAAAATCCTCTCGTCGTTACACGAGATTATTCTATTATCTCGTGATGAAACGTTCGTTAATAATATTTTTTCTAATATCGTTAAGTTAGATTTCCTATCGATTTCAGTGTTCCCGTTTGTACAATGACGTGGCTACGGATTTAGTTGGATTATTATTTTATGTATTTTTTTTTCTTACTATAAATGATATACACTCTGGTTATCTTTCTTTCTCTTTTTATTTTTTTTTATTTTACTGGTAACAGATTGGAAATTATTTATTGTTCGTAGATCATTTCTACTGTGGTTTTTTAGTTTTGTAGATTATTTTTTTAATTGTACTTTTTTGTTTTTTATTTTTCATACTTTTTAAGATTTGCTGTTGTTCAGATAGTAAAACTGTTATATACAAGTCCTAAACAATTTCTGATTAATTTTATATTTTTAATTAGAATTTTTTTGTAGAAAAAATTGAAGAAAAAAAAAAGGTCAAGTCATGATTTTCTAAGTTTAAGTATCATAGAAATAATCGATTGAATAGAAACGGAATAGTTTAAAGGATTGAGAATTCTTACATTAGAGAGAAAATGCACTTCTAACGATCGCAAGGTTGTCGGCTATCTTTTTTATTAACTTAAATCGGATCAGAGAATAGATTTTCTCTATTATACGTTTTAGAGAGAGAGAGAGAGAGAGAGAGAGAGAGAAAGAAAGAGAGAGGATGTTAAAATATTATTTTTTGTTTCTCTAACATATTGAGCGAGATTAAAACGTCCTTCGTTTTAAATGACGTGTTTTAACACGTTAGATTTTCATTTTAATAATACAGATAATAAATGCATCCGACTTGTTTTTTCTTTTTTTTTTTTTTTGTTTAAACCATCGTTTATTTCGTAAACGTGTATAACATTTAAATATCATTTAAATTACGATGAATTTTATTACATATTAAAATATATTAAATAAGTGTATTAATTAATATTAATATATACAGAGTGTTCCAGTTTTGTTCACTCTGTATATTACATTTTGATGAATATATCGATATATGCAGGAATGAATTAATACGATCATATAGTTGATACCAATGGAATATCATTCGTATATACATATATAAAAAGAGATAAAAAAAATATATATATATGTATATGTATGGACACATAGGAAAGTAATAGAAATTATTAATTGGATTATGTAACATTTGCCATATTTATTTATCATATTTTCATTCTTTGAACGCATGCCGACCACAATACTAACAACTGGAAGTATGGACTTCCGTTCTTGTCTAGGGTAAGTTACCGTAACTTTAATTATCATTTTAAGTTCGTCTCCTGTTAATAATAATAACACTTTATTAAGAAATATAGTTTATTTAATGATAGCCTATATATATATAAATATATTACATGTACGTAATCAATTGATAATCTAAGATGACTACTATGCATGGTATTTTATCGGCAAATGATTCAATCATCATTTGGTGGTAGTGATATTTCACGAATGAAACAACTGCATTTCTTACACACATTCCTTAATTTGTGTTAATTACAAAAACGATTTAACTACATTTATTTCATTATTTATTTATTATACACAATAATATGTTTAATTAGATATATAGATCCTGCCATTTGTTTCAAGTCTAAGTATTACTTTTCTTTTTTATTTATATATATATATATTTTTTTTTTTGAATATAGAATAAAAAAAAATATTTCTAATTGGTCGTGAAAAACAAAAGTTACCTCGTGCAATAATAATTTTGATACTTGTTCGATTAAATTTTGAAATTAATTTAATACATATAAGAAAATGTTTTTAAATATTATATACATGTAAATAGAAATCCTAGATTCTGTTTTTACCTGTAGAATTAAAACGTCTCTTAAAGCTATGACAGTAGAGATTATTAGGAATACAATGGTAAGGAGTTTCCCCAATGACATAATCTTCCCACGCAGTCTCTTCATTTATTATTCACGAAAATCATACTAAAGAGAGAAACACACAGATATGTAGTCAACGTTAAAATATTATTTATATCCATTTGATATCCTATTCGAGATGTTATACGTCAAAACTTTTCGCTTATTCATTTTTTTCTTCTTTTTCGTTTCCTCCTTCAATGCCAATATGTTGGGTAATATTTCATTCGGGTGATAATATATAATTTATTTATTAATTTAAATCGTTAAATATATATATACACAAAAAGAGATAATGAATCAATTTAATTTTAAATTAGACGTATCTTCGATAAAGGTTAGTCAATGGAAAAGTTAGTCTACGAATTAGATGAAGTTTTGAATCAATGCTTTTTTGCGAGTCTCACACTCAATATATTTTTTATATAATTTTTACCAATTAGTAAATTAATCTACGGTCTAAGTAATAATTAATCAATGATTTATGAGTCTACGAATAAGACGAAATTTTAAGTCAATGATTTTGCGCGAATTTTCAATTCGATACGTCGATTAAATTAATCGAATCTAATATTATCCAACATTAAAATCTCGCGATTAACTTTATTTTTGGTATACTGAAAAAAAAAACAAATAACAGACGGATGACCAATACATATTGATAAATAATTTCAGGTGGTACCTTGCGGTCTTCGAAAGATCTTTCACGTAAGAATAAGTTATTAGAATTATTTTGTCCTTTCGTTTATATAGTTATATATATATTTATTTTTTTTAAATAAATCAATAATTAATTAATTAATTCATCCATTAATTAATTATGACTATGCGAATCCCTCGAACGAGATCCAGAAGAAGCGCCAAGATTCGAAATCCTTGAACAGAATTCAATGTATATTTGAATTTTTCTCTCTAATATTTTGTTGTTTTTGTTTTAATAGTTATTATACTTTTTGTCTTGTCCATTATATTTCTATTTTAAAACACCGCGTTGTTTATTCTATTCGTATATATCTTTAGCAATAATGACACAATTCTCGGTAGAATTAATCACTAATCAAGCAAAACTACCAATCTTTTATAACAGTGAATAAGTGTGTGAGTTTAATCATTGTTTACTTGTCTTACATAGTTCTTTTTATATTTCTTTTCTTTTTTTATTTCTTTTTGGCGTGCCATATAAACTTGATTTCCTTAGCTATCAATCCGTAACTTGTCATGTTTTATTGCTGTGTGGATATTTTCAATGTTGAAATAAAAAAAAAAAAAAAAAAAAAGAATGAGAAATATTTCATACATATAAATACCTCCAATCTTAATTATTTTCAATGTTAAGAAGGATAATTGTTAAAATAATAACAATAATAATAAAAGATTTAAAATTGGAATAAAAACGTGTCGAGGTAACGTAAGAAGGTTCGACATTTTGGCGCACGCGTTTATCAAATGACACGTGTAGAGATTATAAACACGCGGGATTAAATATCTTAAATTGATTTTTCTTCTTCTTTTTTTGTTTCTTTTTTTCTTTCTTTTTTTTATTTTAATTATATTACATTGTGTTTTTTTACGTAATTCAAGTATGCATATACGTACGTACGTACATACGTATTTACGTCAGGATCGACGACGAATTAGAAAAAAATTAATGTATTATTCGTTAAATAATCATAAATTAGTTTATAATTTATCTCTAATGATCTTGACGTTAATTTATTTACCCACGCGCAATTTAAAATTTTAAAAAACATCTCTCCACACGTATCTCGCACGCTAAAAAATGGTTAAAATATCATATTGAAATAATTTAATAGTACAATACAATAATTTGTTTATTTATTTATTTATAAATAAATTGGGTAGTAGGACTAATGAAGTGATGTTGAATTTTTTTTATAATCGACAAAATACTGAAACCCAATAAAAAAGAAATAAAAGATAAAAATTATAGATCATTTTTTCAAGAGAAATATTTTATCCAAATTTTTTTACAAGCTTTTACTTGCTTTTTGCTTTTATATAAATACATTTATTTATTCGGAAAATTCTTCATATTTTTTTTTTCTTTTTTATTAAGATTTTTCTTACGTAAACGCAATTACCTCTACTGCACAATTATAATTATATAAAAAAGAAGAAACAAAAAAGAATAGAGAGAAGAGAAGAGAGAAAGAAAAAATGGTGTCATCGGCATTGAACTGAGATCTGTGTTGCCAGTCGTACGATCAAGGCGATCATGTTAATATCGTTTCTTTTTCTCTCTCTTCCTCTCATGGATGAGACAATACTTTAAGAGTCTATGTTTTACCAAGGCAAACCATTAAAAATATACTCGTGTCCTTTTTTTTTTTTTTTTTAATTTTATTTCTTCCTTTTTTAATCCAATAATGTCAAGAACACAATCGTCTATTATACATCGTTTTATCATCATCATTATCATCATCATCATTATCATCCAAAATATTTCCAAATAAAAATGGTACCCCACAAAAATATTGATCGTATCGCAAATTGATTAAAAAAAAATGTGTTCACAATTAATCAAGATATTTATTATTACGTTATATAAATACATTTAATTTGTTTTTACTTTTTCCTTTTCTTTCATCTTTTCCGACAATCGTTTCAAACACTCGTAACTACATTTTATTTTTAATAGCAAATTAATGTAGTTTCAAGTATTTTTGTCATTTTTTCTCTTACCAAACCTTCCTCCCACCCACTACCCTCTTTCAATAATACATCCTTTACCTTTTAAAATAAAAATTCTATCGTCAAGTTTTCTTGTAGATATTCTTGATAAGATTTAGAGGTATAACACATAGATTATTATTAAGAAATATATAGGAACTATAATAATAGTATTTTTTTTCTTATCAATCATTCAAATATAATTACTCAATCCAAATATTCTATCGATGGATATGCATTTATGTCTCCCTAAGGCCCCAACCCCACCCACCTCTCTATTCCTTATCGATTAAAAAATTATATATTTATTTATGTATGTATGATAATTCTTTTCTTGCATGTCACTGCAACAAACAACAATCCAAAGATCAATCGTCATGTTTTATTGTTTAATTTATAATTGTAATCATGAAAATTATATGCGTATAATAAATGCACAAGTTTGCACGTTTTGTTGTATATTTAAAATGATAGATGAGTGAGTTTATCATTTGATTTGATTTTCTTTTTCTTCTACCTTTGTGTTTGATCAAATGTTATCGCAAATAAAAATAATAACACACGTAGTTGATTTATATTATCGAGTATAGATGTAGGATTCGTGAAAGAAAATTGGGCTGTTAGATTGACTGGACTCTAATCGTCGAGTAATCCAGTACCACCGGTCACAATTCTTCCACGAATGCTTATTTTTATTGAATGGAGGTGTTCGCTCCCACATATCTATAGGGTGAACCAAATAATTAATAGTTTACAAAGTCTTAATAAAAAATAAGTAATCGATTTGGAAAAATTAATTCAATGATATCAAGTCTTCTTAGAAACGTTTGGTCCACCCCGTAAATGCGCATATATATATATATATATATATGTGTGTGTGTATTTGAATATGATATTATTTTGATGAAACTTTATTTTCATTTATTGTTATCAATTAATTATTACAGGTGATGAACCAGGAGGTCAAAAAGGAGACGCCATTGCAGTTCAAGTTTCGCGCAAAATTTTATCCCGAAGATGTTGCAGAGGAAATCATACAGGATATTACACTTCGTCTATTTTACCTTCAGGTGGGTGAGGAAAAGTAACGCGTTATTATATCTAATTAAAGATTTTTGTTGTGAGATTTTCCTTTTTTAACCTAAGAGAAATAAAAAAAAAACAATAATCTTTGTATTGTTATATAAGATATGAGATTAAAAAAGATCTTGCAATTTATCATAGAAATTAGAGAGTAAAGGAGAATATGAAAACTGGTACTCTCTTGCAAGTTGTAATAATCTCTCTCCCACCTTCTCTTTTATTTTATGCATGTAATGCACGACTTTGATAATTCACTTTTCTAATGAAAAGTCTAATCTCTATGATTTATCAATAAAGATCGTTCGGCTATTACATTGTTAATTAGACTGTTACATTAGATGAATAATTGCATATGGAGGAACATTTCGATGGTCGAATGAAATATTAATTATTATCTATCCTATATCTGGTTGTTTCTTTGTTATGGTTTGAGAATCTTTAAATAATACGTTTAGAAATATACAAGTGTTTTTCTTTTATATAAAATAAATTTCTCTTATTCCAGGTGAAAAACTCTATTCTATCAGATGAAATTTACTGCCCACCTGAAACATCCGTTTTGCTAGCATCTTACGCGGTTCAAGCAAGACACGGTGATTTCCAAAAAGGAATACATACTCCTGGATTTTTAGCTAACGATCGTTTATTACCCCAACGCGTTGTCGATCAACATAAAATGAGTAAAGAAGAATGGGAGAGTTCGATAACCAATTGGTGGCAAGAACACCGTGGTATGTTGAGAGAGGATGCTATGATGGAATACTTGAAGATTGCTCAGGTGATAAATGACAAAAATTTATATCATCATATCTATAGATTAATTCAATTATTTTCATTTATATTTGAAGATTCTTATCTTTTTAATTTTCATTTATTAATTAAATCTTTTCTTTTTCTGTGTGTTATCTAGGACTTAGAAATGTATGGAGTTAATTATTTCGAGATTCGTAATAAAAAAGGAACAGAATTGTGGTTGGGTGTCGATGCTTTAGGCTTGAATATTTACGAAAAGGACGATAAGCTTACTCCTAAAATTGGTTTCCCTTGGTCGGAGATAAGAAATATTTCTTTTAACGAAAAGAAATTTATTATTAAACCGATAGATAAGAAGGCACCAGACTTTGTCTTCTTTGCTACAAGAGTGAAAATTAATAAGAGAATTTTGGCACTTTGTATGGGCAATCATGAATTATATATGCGTAGACGTAAACCTGATACCATTGATGTTCAACAAATGAAGGTATTTAGAGATATACACGCATAAATAAATGTATACACATATTTAATAGAAGTTTTGAAATATTACTTTTCATTTTGATAAAAATCTACCTATGATTATTTGATTAATTTGCTACTTTTGAGTGCCGTGATAATAGAATATCGAATGAGGGCATTATCTCTAGATAAATTTTATAAGTTAAGAATCATTCTACTGTAAGTTTTCAACGTACGTGGTAATATTTTTTCAAGGCTCAAGCCAGAGAGGAAAAAATCGCCAAACAACAGCAAAGGGAGAAATTGCAATTGGAAATAGCGGCGAGAGAACGCGCAGAAAAGAAACAACAGGAGTACGAAGAAAGGCTAAGAAATATGGCCGAAGAAATGGATAGGCGACAGGCTGAATTGAATGAAGCTCAAGAAATGATAAGACGTTTGGAAGAACAATTGAAACAGTTACAAGCTGCTAAGGAGGAATTGGAAGACCGTCAAAAGGTTTATTTCATTCTAAATATTTGTTACGATTATTATAATAATGATAATGATTACGTATTTATGAGTATATATTTTTTACTAAAATGTATATTTTTATTCAATAGGAATTGACGGCAATGATGGAGAAATTAGAACTTTCTCATGAAATGGAAGCAGCAGAACGTGCCAAGTTGGAACAAGAAATCAGAGCTAAGCAAGAGGAAGTACAACGCATACAATCTGAAGTAGAAGCAAAAGATGCTGAAGCTAGGAGATTGCAGGAAGAGTTTGAAGCTGCCAAGTACTCATTGTTTTTATTGATTTATTTAATTAATTATTCTTATTTATTATAATGTTCACATGATTTACCGTTTATATAAACTAACAATGTTTTATTATTTCATCTTCGAGTAGACTCAGGCAAGAGGAAGCAGATCGTGCTTTCCAAGCTAATACGACTCCTCATCATCATCACGTAGAAGAAAATGAGGAAGGAGAAGAAGAAGGTGAAGATGAGGTTCCCCATGGTGATGTTACTAAAGATCTTGCTACGGACGAATCAATAATTGATCCTGTCGAAGAGAGACGTACTTTGGCTGAAAGAAATGAACGTCTTAACGATCAATTGAAGGTATTATTCATATATAATATAATTAATCAATTGTTATTGTCTATTTTTTTAATCTTTAATATTATCATTATATTCATTACGTTTAAATAGATATATGAAGTGAAGCTTCAGTTTTTTATGTTGCTAACTTTATTGAATTTTATTAGATTTTATTATTCAAAATCTATAAATGATTTAATTACCATTAAGAAGATACATGAACGGTCCAGGATAGTTTGTTCGTTGTCATCAAAGCTCGGTTGATAACGGACAAACTATCTTGGACCGTTCATTTGTCTTCTTAACGTTAATACTTATACACACACAAATTCATTGAAACATTTATTTCGCATGCTCAATCGATATTTCTCCATTTCTCCCTTACCACTCAAATACCGCGTTCTTTTCAAAACCTTTCACTTTTTGCTTGATTTATACATTTTTTGGTTCTCTCCCAAAAGAAGTTTGATTTCAAAAAATCATTGTACAAAATAATTTTAGGATATGTATTTATCAATTTGATTTATTGTTTTATAGGCATTGAAGCAAGATCTAGCACAATCACGAGACGAAACTAAGGAAACTGTTATGGATAAAATCCACAGGGAAAATGTTCGTCAAGGACGTGACAAATATAAAACGCTTCGTGAAATTCGTAAGGGAAATACCAAACGTCGTGTCGATCAATTTGAGAATATGTAAAATATGTGCGTATATTTATCAGCACGCCCGGAATGCATTTTTATTATCTCATTTTTTTGAATTTCATCCGTTCTGTATATCTTATTATACGGAATAATATTATTATTGCACATAAGAGAGAGAAAGAGATAGAAAAAGAAAAAGAGAGAGAAAGAAAAAAAGAGAGAGGGAGAAAGAGAGAGAGAGAGAGAGAGAGAGAGAGAAAGTGAAAGAAAGTGAAATAGAGAGAGAGAGAGAGAGAGAGAGAGAAAGTGAAATAGAGAGAAAGAGAGAGAAAGATAGATAAGAGGATTCAATATCCTAAGTATATTATTATTAATATTAATATTATTATTATTATTATTATTATTATTATTATCACTTAGATTGATTATTATCGTCATTCCTTTGAAAAAAAAATTTATTTTATTATAATTGATCTTAATTCTTTCTTTGTGCCACGTCAAACATTAATAATTGATCCCTTTTTTTTTTTATATCATAGCAATTTATATAATCCTATAGCATTGGGACACACACATACACACACACATTAATCATTCTCATCGTTAAAATATATTCAAAATTCCAGAGAATTTAATTAAAAGCAAGAAAAAAATACATTAATTATGGCAACGAATCTAAAAACTCTGAAATTTATTTATAGAGAAAAAAAAGAAAGAAAAAAAAGGAACACGACGAACAATTTTATTATATTACTACGATATCTTCCAAATATGCTTCCACGTATTATTAATTATGAGATTGAATTATCTCCAAGTCTTTTTAAGCGTTTTGAGATGGATCTATATCAATTTGTGCTGTATTTTTTCTCTCGCCGATATTAGAGTTGTAATAATTATTACTATCTCAGTTGGTATGTTTTTCTTTTTCTTCTTTTTTATATTCTTCTTTATTTTTGTAAGTAAATCTCAAAAAAAGAAAAGTAATAATACTTTCAATATTTGTTAGAATAAATAGTATTTGGCAATAAAAACTAACTTACTCTCTCGTAGCAGTTATGTTTAGCTATTTTTTATCTGCGTTCTCGTACTCGCATTTGCTATTATTCTTATTTTCGAGAATGTGCTAAGAATATCATTATTATTAACTATTAATTAATATTAATTGTTGTTATTATTATTATTATTATTATTATTATTATTATTATTATTATTATTATTATTACTATGCTCTATGTTCTTGCATGTTTTACATCCTACTTTCTATAAAGATA